CTCAGGTCTGTTTTTTAGCCAGTACCATGTTGATTTTATGAAAGTAGTTTTGTAGTATAATTTCAGGTCAGGGATTGTGATTCCACCTGACTTGTCTTTGCTGCCCAGAATTGCTCAGCTATAAAGAAAGATAAACTCAAGGCATTTACAGGTAAGTGGTCACAACTAGAGACCATACTCATAAGTGAAATAAACCAGACCTCCATGTGTAAGCAACGTATTGTCTTACTAGTGTAAGAACCTGAAAGAGTGAATAAAAATTAGAAGGTATGATAGACATTGTGAAATGAAAGGAAAATACTCAAAAGTAAGTAGCAACTGGGGTGAGGGAAAAGAGAAAAGAAAGACAGGGAAATTATGTGTGTATGTATATTCAGGATAGCTAACATAGTTGTACTACTGACTTCTATCTCTTTACTGAAAGGAACAGTTAATGATTACTTATTTGATCCATCTTGCATATCTATTTGTTTTCCTGAGAAACCACTTTGAAGATATAAATACGTAATGCAACAACCATTGTTAATTTCCTATCACTTTGTCTGTAATTCAGTATTGCTTGTATTGTTCTTATGCTATTTTGTAAATGGATGTCTGTTTGTTAATATGTTTTCATTCTTTTATTTTTAAAATAAAATTTAAAAAATATATATTAACACTGACAGTGCTGCAGCAGTCTAATGAATGAACTTCTATTGGTTATTCATGCCAGTGATTATGTGTTTTAATGGAGGAAAGAAAACTGGCCAATTGCTACTAGTGGGTGTCTACATCATTTAGATTAAAAGAGCAAATAGAAATTTTGTTTTCCCCTATCTGGCTGCTACCATTGCTGCTTGTATACCATTCACCAACAAAATGTTTATAGCCATCATTTTTGTGCATTGTAGCTGCCTCAATTATAATACCAGAGTTGTTCACTTATAAGAACTAATCATTTCTCAGAGTTGTGAAGACTGGTACATCCAAGATCAAGGCACCTACAGCTTAAATGTTTATATATTAAATTTCTATGGTTTATGCATATGCCTTCTAGTTGTGTCTTCACAGGGTAAGAGAGGATTTGGCCTCTTATAGATGCATGCATCTCACTTATAAGGGTTCTGACCTCATAGCCTTATTCATATCCAGTGTCCCCACCACCTCATACCCTCATATTAGGAGGTAGGATTTAACACATAAAATTTGGGAGAGATCATCCATTGAAAGCACAGGTCAGTTATACTAGGTGTATAATATGTTGAGCAGTGTTGTGGTTTATATGTGGCTTAATGTTTCTCCAAGGATTCCTATGCTGATAGCGTCTCTTCACTTACCTCCAAGCTTATTGCACTGGGTTCTTGAAAAATCATTGTCATATTCAGGGAAATAATCATTGTCAGGGAAAATACCTTGATGTACTGTTTTCCACCTCCACTTACTATCTCACTGTTTAGTATACTTCTGTCCTCATTGGTCCTCTGTTCTAGAAAACTTAAATATTCTGTGGGATTTGATGGGATCCATCTCACCTCCCTCTGGCTTCTCTCTGTGTTCTAGACCTGCTTGCTTTGGATGTGGTTTTTAAAGAGTAGAATTATTCCTCTTGCAGCCACATCAAAGTTCCAATCCTGTATTCAATGCCCTGTGAGTATACACTTAGAAAGTGAGTGCTCCCTACATGCAGTACATTGTGTGCACATCAGACTCTTATATCCTTCTAATGACCTCATAAAGCCCAGTTCTATTTGATGTATTAGTCCTGCTGAAGCATTGGAGACTAAGACAAGTAAATGTGTTTGATTTAAGAATGAGTTCATGGGCAGGTGTCTATAGTTTTTTCTGCCAGCTGAGAGAAGAGACTAGAGGAAAATATAAGTAAGTATGCAGAAGACCAGAAAAGGTGTTGAGTTTATGTGTCCCTATCTTGAACTGTGGTGAGCTGACAGATTTGGGACTCTGTGGAATATGGTGTGGACAGTGTAAAATACTGCACCCAAGAATAGAGGGAGTGAGCTAATTTTACCCATAACAATTCTTATAGCAATTGCAAACAAAATTATTCTAAAAAATGTATTCCTTGTTCTTTCTAGATTTAAAACCATTCCCTATCCAGAAGTTACTAGGTTTCCCCCCGGATTAACCGTATTATTAGTCCATAGTGTATAGGACTTTCACTTGGGGAAGTGAAATACTAGAAATGGTAAATATGCAGGGCCCAGTGAACCAAGACAGGAGCGGTTTGTGGTGGAGCCATAAGGTCTGGTTGGAGTAGGGCAGAACATGCATTGGCAGAACCTGGGTCTCCCTGCCCCAGCCGAGCAGTATTTGTTTCTGTGTGTCAACTGCTGCTGGCATACCCTTGGACCCTCTGGACCCTCAGGGCAGGAGTGAAACAGTTACCACGACCTATACATCCTGTCCTGTCCAAGTGAGGGAACTGCAGCAAGGCGAGAGCCCTGTTTTGGACTGCTCTACCTGCAACCTCACTTCTCACCACATGGTGCAGTGACAGCAGGAGAGCTGTTAGGAGACTCCTCATGTGCAAGGCTTGTGTGTGTGTGGGCGGCTCAGTACTACGATGGGTGCCCTGTCTTTTGACCCATGTGCACAGCCAGTGTGATTTATATCTAAAATGTGCCCCTTAGGGGCTGGGGATTTAGCTCAGCGGCAAAAGCGCTTGCCTGGCAAGCGCAAGGTCGTGAGTTCGGTTCCCGGTACCGGAGAAAAACCAAAAAAAAAAAAAAAAAAAAAAAAAAAATGTGCCCCAAACGTGTCATGAGGTCAGAAGTTGATTGGATTCTGTGGGCCCTGTGCTCAGGTATTCATCCATCCACTGGTAAGTTTGATAGCTGAATGTGTTGTTAGCAGGTGGGGCCTGGTCTGAGGGTCCTTGGTAATATTACTTGGAAAAGTATATTCTCATCTTTAGCTCCTCCCATCTCACTCTGCTTCCTTTCTGGATGAATTGAGCAGCTTTCTCCACCATCTTGGTTTTTTTTGGAGCCAGTGGATCATGGACTAAGGCTTCAGCCAAACTAATCTTCTCTGTTAAGTTGTGGGTGTTGGTATTTTGTCCAGGGGATGTGAAAGTGACTAAGCCATCTGGTGATGCTCCTGAACTATAGGCTTCATTGTGATGGCAGTGAATTCCTAAATTTCCAGAAACTTCCCCACATGGTCACAGTTACTGTAGAGTGTCTGTAAAGGTCATGAAAATCTGAAGAAAAACAGAATATTGTTGGAGATAAGGCTTAGTGGTAGAGTACTTGCCAAGTATGCTTAAAGTTCTATGTGGAACTCAACAATAAATGAATGAATAAATAAAAAATAGCAAAGTAAATAGGTCCCCATGCCAAGAAAATCAGAGGGGATATCTGTTTTGGAAAGGAAGATGAAGACAGTCCTGCAAAGGACACCTTTTAGAAGGTGCTGCCGCTTGAGCCCACACTGAGCATCTCTTTGAAGTAGGGCATTCAGATGTCCATGTGATTGGGCACTAGCAGAAAAAGAGATGGGCACCTTTCTCAAGTAATTGCTGTAGTTCTTGGGTTTCCAGACAATATTTTAAGAAACCGAATGCTGAATGAGGCAGGACTTTGTATAAAAGCAGTGCTGCAGTAGTGGTAAAGCCCCAAATGCTGTGCTGCAAGCATGTCAATGGTTAGGCACGAAAAGTTGCCTGTATGGGAGGAGGAAAGCGGAGTAGATACGAATGGAAAAGGAGGGAGTGATGGAGAGTGACAGAGTCAGCTCCGGAATCACAGGTTTTTCCCTTGAGGTTGGAATGTTCTTAGTGTGACACCAAAAGAGAGGCTCTGTTCTGGCTTGGGTTGAGTGTGGGTATAATATCCCAGGCCTGAAGGAAAAAGAAATTTAGAAACAATGTGAGACTAATAAGTCCTTTGTTACTCTGATGAGTCCTCATCCTTTTTAAGGGAAAATTGGAAATTAGAAAATTGCACCCATCCTTGTTGTGGGTTAAAAAATTGTTTGGACAGCATCACTTAACTGTCATGGGAAGACTACACAGAATTAAACATTAGGCTTCCTCCTTTTGCTCTTTAATGAGCTTAGTTGAAGTGTTCCATGTCATGAGTCTCGATCTTTTTCCCGGAAATATGGGTGTGATGATTTAGGAGGCAGTGACCTTTAAGGATGTGGCTGTGAACTTCACTGTGGAGGAGTGGGCTTTGCTGGATTCATGCCAAAAGAAGCTCTACAGAGATGTGATGTCAGAGACACTTCAGAACATGGCTGCCATAGGTAAGGAAGACATCACTTTCTAATTTACATAATTTGAGAGCATTGATTCTTGCTCATCAGTGCATTTTCATTAATTGGGATATGAAAACATTTGGATGAAAATTTCTGGCATGTTCACATGATACCATGAATCTGTTAATTTTTATACAATGTTGTAGTAGCTTACTATATTTTTGTTTCTACACTTTAGGAGAAAACTGGAATGACCAGCAAATTGAAGATGAATGCAAATATTGGAGGAGAAATCTAAGGTAATTGTATTCAAAGAAAAAGAAATGTTTCTTAAGAGTCAGGGGCTGAGTACCAATTCTGAAATGACATAAACTACAAGTGAGATCAATTTCAAAATTATTTAATTTCAGAAACTCCTAAAATGCATACAGTTTAGTCTCTATAATTTAGCAGTTGAATATCTGAAACATTCTAATATTAAAAACTTAGGACTGACATACTATAAATGACATTATGTAATGTATCAGTAAAAACAAATTTTGTTCCATGCTCAAAATTATAAAAATGTATGAAATCACATTGAGGGATTGGCTATGGGTGTGTATTAATCCAATTTTGTGTTTAGACTGGGGTTGAAGTTTAAGGTATCCAATCATATATACATGTATTTTATAAAGACCATATGCATATCAAACAATTTAAAGAATATTGTCTGTATTTAAATGTAGTATACACATTCAGTAATTGAAAAATTGCTAATGTGAATATATTCAAAATGTAAATAACTGTCACTGTTTTGATAGTAGCTGCTTTCATTCAATCCTCTAAAGCATTCAGTCCATTCTTTCTCCAAAGTTATTAGAAAACATCTTATATTGTTTGTGGGAATATCATGTAGTATAGTTGTGGAAATGTCCATGGAGATTCCTCAAAAACGTAAAAGTAGATATTCCCTTTGGGCTGGGCATGTTGGCACATGCCTGTACTCCTAGCACTTGGGAAGCTGAGGCAGGAGGATTGCCACAAGTTGAAGGCTAGCCTGGGCTACACAGTGAGTTCAAGCCTTGCCAGAACTACATGGTGAGACCCTGTCTCAAAAAACTAAAAACAAAAGAACAACAAAACAAGCAAACAACAACAAAAATTTAAAAAATAAAAAAAGCAATTTCATTTGGTCCAGCGATATATCCCTCCAAAATTTAAAGTAATCATATTATAGTGGTAGAGATGTCTCCCCACATATGAATGGATTAACTAAATATGAGATATTCCAGATATAGTGGTGCACATTTGGAGTTATAGCACTGGGGGAACCTGAGGCAGGAAGATCAGATTCTCATCCTTACCATGGGCAATTTATGACTGATGAGACTGTCTCAAAATTAAAAATAAGAAAGGCTACGGATATAGCTCAGTGCTAAGACACTTGGTTATTCTCCAATAAAAAGTTGTATGTATGTAGAATTGAAATATATTTGATAATTAAGAATGAAGCAATATCATTTACCAAAAATAGGTGGATCTTGCATCCATAATGTTAAGTGAAGTAAATCAGACACAGAAAGTTCATTATCACATGGTATATTTTGCACGACAAACCTGAAGTATTAAGGAGTAAAATAAAGGAGATAATAAAAAAGAGAGAGGCAGACATCTTGGTAAAGATGAAGAGGTTCAGTGGGAGAGAGATACAGCAGCACTGCGGACAAATGGGTATCAAAAATAATTAGCACATGGTATACACGCATGCAAATTGAAAGTAAATATGCTTTGCAAACACATCAATTATATGCTCCCAAATGAATAATACTTTTTCAGTAAAAGACGTTTTGAAGCCATCCTCCAGAGTGTGGATTAAATTCATGGTCAAATATGCTTAAGGAGCATCACACCAAATCATCTCCTGGTAAATCATTAAAAAGGAGACACTTATAAACGTGATTGATTTTTATTTTATTTTATTACTTTTACAGAAGTGAAGAGGTAGAAAAGTGTTGGGAATGCAAATTATGCTGTCAACATAGAGAAGTGTTTGTTTGGACTCCAGATCCTCATATGAACATGCAACCACTTGGTACAAAACCAGCTGAAAACCTTGCTTGTAGAATTCCCCTGATGAGTCATTCATCATTAAATGTGCCTATCCGAACTCCCACTACCCTTAAATCAGGGGAGAATCAGGTATTTGAAGACAAGGTTTCCAACTCTAATGAACATGGGAGAACTTGCAGTAATTTCCAGACCCTTCAACAGGATGCAAGAATAAACCCTGAAGAGACACCCTGTGAATATAAGCAATGTGGGAAATCTTACTCTGATTGCACTGAAGGAATTCACATTCAAGAGAAGCCCTTTGCAAGTAAGCAAGATGCAAAAGACTTCAGTACACTCAATTATTTTCAGCTTCCTGAAAAAAATCACAGTGCAATGAATATTTCTGTATATACTCAAGATGGAAGAGCTTTAAATTTTCACCACAGTAATCAAATACATGAAAGGGATCACAGAGGAGAAAAACCCTATATATGTCAACACTGTGGGAAAGCTTTCACTAATAACTCTTCATTTTGTAGACATGAAAGAACTCACAAGGTGGGTAAACCTTATGTATGCAAGCAATGTGGGAAAACATTTCTTCATTGTAGTTCATTATGTAGACATAAAAGAACTCACACTGGACAGAAACCGTATGTTTGCAAGCAGTGTGGGAAAGCTTTCACCACATCCAGTCATTGTCAAACACATGAAAGATCTCACACTGGAGAGAAACCTTATGTATGTAAGCAATGTGGAAAAGCATTTCCTTATCACAGTTCATTTTATAAACATAAAAGAATTCACACTGGGGAGAAACCCTATCTATGTATGCAGTGTGGGAAAGCCTTCACTAATTCTAGTTCATTTTGTAGACATAAAAGAACTCACACTGGAGAGAAACTCTATATATGTAAGCACTGTGGGAAAGCTTTTAGCACACATGGTTGTTGTCAAATCCATGAAAGAACTCACAGTGGTGATAAACCCTATGTGTGTAAACAATGTGGGAAAGCTTTCACCACACACATGCAATATAAAATACATGAAAGAAATCACACTGGAGAGAAACCCTATGTGTGTAAGCAATGTGGGAAAGCTTTCAGTACACTCATTCAATGTCAGAGCCATAACAGAACTCACACTGGGGAGAAACCTTATGTATGTAAACAATGTGGAAAAACATTTCCTTACAAAAGTTCACTTTATACACATAAAAGAATTCACACAGGGGAGAAACCCTATGTATGTAAGCAATGTGGGAAAGCTTTCACCACTCATAGTCATTGTAAAATACATGAAAGAATTCACACTGGAGAGAAACCCTATGTGTGTAAGCAGTGTGGGATAGCTTTTATCACATTCAGTCTATGCCAACTGCATGAAAGAACTCACACTGGAGAGAAACCCTATGTATGTAAGCAATGTGGGAAAGCTTTCAGCAGACACAGTCTTTGTCAAAGACATGAAAGAACACATACTGGAGAGAAACCTTATGTATGTACACATTGTGGAAAAACTTTCAGGCAAAAAGGTCATTGTAAAATACATGAAAGAATTCACACAGGGGAGAAACCTTTTGTGTGTAAGCAGTGTGGAAAAGCATTCATTGCACAGAGATATTGTCAAATACATGAAAGAAGTCACACTGGTGAGAAACCCTACATGTGTAAAGAATGTGGGAAAGCTTTTACTACACGTGGTCATTGTCAAAGACATGAAAGAACTCATCGGTGCAATACATAAAGGAAAAACCATACAAATGTAAGAAGAATGGGGAAGCTTTCACCACACAGAGTGAATGTCAAATACATGAAAGAAATCACACTGTGAAGAGACCTATACATCTGATCTAGTCACAGAAGCCTTCAGTTATTCCAGGAATCATAGACATTAACAAAGTCACAGACAATTAACTGTGAGTACATAATGTGACATGCTTCCATGAAAGGATGCACAGTGGAGAGAAGCCCTTTGTAAGGGATATGGAAAATCTTTAGTACACACAGGTATTAAATGTATAAAAGAATTCATAGTGGAGAACATCTGAACACATGTGAATCATGTGAGAAACATTGTATTTTCCCCAATACATTTACATACATGAAAGAATATGCATGGGGAAAAGCCATGTGTATCAGGCAGTGGTTACTAGAGAAACATTTAATACAAAATATACAAATACATTGTAAAGAAAAATTTATAAGATTGGCTTATAATGGCCTCCCACAGAGTCAGGTATGGTAGAGTGCAAAAAGTGTCTGCACATTAGAAATTCAAAGGATTTTGTCAAGGGCATGGATCTCAGTGTAGTGTCCTGTGCAGATCCATATCAGGAGGCTGAACGTTCTGCACTGGAAGGCTGAAGTCTGGACTGGAAGTGATGAGAGGAGGAGCAAGGTCAAGGTGAAGACTGGAGTTCCTCCAAAGAAATAGAAGGAAGCCTTCCTTCTTTGTTTCCCTTTTATACCATCCTGGTCACAGTTCTCCCTAGGGTGGATTTTCTGCATCCACAATAATGAATGCAGAGCCAGTTTAGGTGGGTGTTTCTTACCCTAGTTGACACAATCAGTTGTGTATCACAATGCACCCTTTGTCACCTTGACAACCAGATATGTTTTTCAAACCATAGTCCCAGATACAAAGACAAGTTCATAATTAGGCCTAACATGTTATAGCTATGTTGCAGACAAGCAAATACACTGATTCTCTCCCCAGTGTAGAAGGGAGGTTTTCTTTGTGTGATGCTTATTCCTAACATTTCATAAATTGAACCTTTAACATAAGTTTAACAATATTTGAGAAACTGTTAAGTCTATCAACATTATGTTACACTGGAAGAATATTAAGAGAGGACTTACAGCCTTTGTTTCTGTGACTGATCAAGGGGTCACAGCTGGTATTTAGAACTAGTTTGTACTACCCATTCTGTATTCCCTTGGCCTTCAGCAAGCACCTCAGCAGGTCTTGGTTCTGTCCCTGGTGGGGTAACTCATTTTTTCATTCCTGAGGGTTCTGGGCAATTTCACATTCTGCTTGGATTGATTCGTTGTTTCTCTATTGACTTTAATAACAGCTCATGGTAGTACTAGTAGGTGACCTCAGGGACCTCCTGAAACTCTAAATATATTCTTCCTTTCCTCATTGTGGAGTAACAGTCCTATTTCCTCTTGATAATCTGGGTCAGGACCCCCTGCCAATGCTGTTATTTCCTTTTAGCTTGCTTCCTTAGAGGCATGAGGACAACAAAATGCCCAGGAAAAAAATCTTAGCCTTGTGTTCTTTTTTTTTTTTTTGGTTTTTCTCCGGTACCAGGAACCAAACTCATGACCTTGCGCTTGCCAGGCAGGCGCTTTTGCCGCTGAGCTAAATCCCCAGCCCCTTAGCCTTGTGTTCAATGGTATCATTGTTGTGCTTCTTGGAGCTAAAGAATGGTAGCATTGTTGTGTCTTCCCCTCTTGAGCTAAGATTTCTAAGCCAGCAAAGCATATGAGCATGGGAACAGGAAGCCAAAGTTTTGCTGGTAGATCACTGGGGGTCATGTTGAGTGATTATTCCCAAGTCCAGTCCTTGATTCCTCACCCATGAATTCTTGGTGTTGATACACAGGGACATATAGTGTATGCTGACTCAAAACATATACAGCCTTTATATCAAAACATATAGTGTATGCTGAATCAAAACATATGCAGCCTTTTGAAGGACCTAAGCCCTATAAGCTGTTGTCACCTATCTGGCACTGTACCTGTGTCCTCAAAAGACCATTCTACCTTTCTATCAAGCCGTTTCTAGATGGTGAGGATCATGGTAAGACCAGTGAGTTCCATAAGCACAAGCCCATTGCCTCACTTCTTTTGCCATAAAATGTGTTCTTTGGTGTTGTGGGTTGGGGGATATTTTTGCAAGGGAGACAATATAATACAGGACACATTTTATAAGATTATTTAAATAGTGACCCAAAGAATCATATACAAGAGAGTGCAGGAAATCTGTCCACACACTAGAGACTAAGAATCCAGCTGAGGGCCTCAATCTTATGGTAATGTCCTGCAGGAGTCCAGCTGAATACCTGGAGCCCATAACAATGCCTCCCATGAATCCAACTGGAGGCCCAGAGCCCATGACAACATCTCATGCAGGGCTGTTTCATGGGTCTGTGCTGGGAAGGCCCAAAGGTCAGTGGTAGAATCTGGAAAGTCTATGCCAGTGGGATGAAGGTTCTGTGCTAGCAGGCTGAGGGATCTGCACTGGAGCCAGGAAGTGACATGCAAAGTAAAAACCACTGTTCACCTGAGAAGTACCACAGCTATCCTCAGCAAAAAGTGAGGTCCTGAGCTCCTCCAATGATCAGGAAAGCTGAGTTCCCATCAGGGAAGCCAACACAGCAAGCTTCTTCAGGAGGCAGCTGTGCACCTTCTTCCCCTCCAGAGCCAGGATGCAGTGTTCAGAGTGAGGACCAGAGCTCCCCCAAAGTGAACTGTTGGTCTCAGGGCCAACAAGGTCCTGAGCTCCTCATAGGATGAAAATAGCCAAGTTCATCAGGAAAGCCAGCATGATGAGCTCTTCCAAAAGAACCAACAGCTCCTTACAGTTTCTACCAGCTCCCGAGCGCCTTTCTCTGCTCCCAAGAGCGAGCCTTTCTTCTCCAAGTCTGCCTCTTGTGCTGCTGGCATCAGTCCCCAGGTGGGCCTCCCACACCCAGCACCATGCTTACTCAGTTCAGCTGGGGGTTATAAGTTGACCGCCAGTTGTCAATCCACTACACTTGGTCAGAAGCAATGCTGTATGGAGTTGCATGGCAGTGGATAAGGCATTCTTGAGTTCATGAATGGTTGTTTTGCCAGAAGCATTATATGGAGAGAAGGCAAATCCATATCCAGAGTGTTTATACCAGTAAGGACCAAGTCCAGTTGTTTCCATGATGGAAGTCGTCCAACATAACCTGCCACCAGGTCACAGGCTGATCACCCTGGGGAGTGGCGCCATAGTGGGGACTTGGTGTTGGTCTCTGCTGCTGTCATATTTGGCATTCAGCCCACTGGACTCTTGCATTCCTTGCTTGGCTCCACACCAGTGAGCTAGGCTTCTTACCCACTTTAAAGTTTAAGAATAGGTTGAGATCATTTCAGCCCCAAGATCTGTAATCATTCACTTTGCTGGATAAAACTATGATTACGAACATCCATAGTGGGTGCCTTAACCCAGCATTTGGTTTATCCTGCTCACAGTGCCAGTTCTGCTTAGCAAAAGTGGCGCAGTAAACACTTCCATTCCACGTCTGGCTCCATACCAGCAAGCCAAGATTCTTACCCATTTCAAGTTTGAGAATAGGTTGTTTTGTCCCCATTTGTTGTACTAAAATTTATAACAATGTTTACTAGATTTAATGCAAGATACACAAATAAGAGTTTCCAGATTAGCTTACAATGGCTGCCCACAGGGTCTGATGCACAAGAGTGCGAAAGGTCTGCACATTGGCCATCCAAAGGTCCTGTCAAAGGCCTGGATCTGAGTGCAGTGTCCTTTACAAGTCTGTACTAGGAGGCTCCAGGGTCTCTGATGAAAGCAGGGATGATTTCCAAGGTGAAGGCAAATTCTGGAACTCCTCCAAAGGGACAGAAAAAAGGCTTTCTATTTTGTTTCCCTATCTACTATTCTGGCAAAAATCTTTTATTTTATTTATTTATTTTTATCCAGTACCGGGAATCAAACTCATGACCTTGTGCTTGCCAGGCAGGTGCTGTGCCGCTGAGCTAAATCCCCAGCCCCTCTGGCAAAAATCTTATGGTGGGTCTTCCACACCCATAACTATGCTAAGCCAATTTAGCTGGTTGTTTCTTACTCAAGTTGAAACAATAATTTGAATATCATGCCATGTGTGTATTCAATGTAGAAAGTCCTTCAGTTCTTCCACTTGACTCGAAATAAGTGGGTTCACACTGGAGAAAGACTCTATGGGTAATGTGAGAAAGCGTTATAAGGGATGTACACAAGTTTTCAGTTGTCCAATATGCAAGAAAACCAACTGGATCAAATCCCTGTGAATGTACAAAGTTCTCATTTGTAACTCATATTTTCAAAATCTTTTAAACATTTCTCATATAGTGCAAGATGTCAATTATTTTTGTGTAGAATGCTCAGAAAATACACAACCATAGGATATATCCTAAAGTATAAAGATAATGTGATCATACATAATTCGCTCTTAAATTAGTTCTCTGGATTACATATTTGCAAGTTCATTTTTCAGAATAAATATTGTGCTGACATAATTCTGTTGTATAAGCAGTGATGGTAGAGTTTCATATCAGGTTTTAATCAAATTAGGTAGTACTATTTTGTACCATGTTAGATCCAGACATAAATGAACACATATTTTTTACATGCCAGTAAGGTTAATATTTTTGATAGGGTTTGGAGGGATGTTTTGTTTTTCCAGTTGTGAGGCAATTGGACACTAAAAACTGAATTTTCGCTAATTGTCCATTGCCTTCTATTTTCCACTGGCTTCTATTTAATTCTTGATCCATATGCTCTATTGTTTCCTTCTCCCTAACAAAAGAATTTTTAAAAATTAGATGTTGTATTTTATCATTCTGATCTACATTTTTAAGATTTCTGTACCTGTGCTTTACATAGCATTGAACTCTTTTCAAACAACTTTTATATTACCAGATAATATATTTTCCATATCCTGTGAAGGTATCTGTACTTATCTCAATGTAATTATAGATTACAACCAGTACATAATTTTGCCTGTTTTTCTTTGATGTGAAGAGCAATTATTAACATGAGTATACAATTTTAGGGGTTTTTTTTAACCACATAAAATTTACTCTTACTTTTTATGCTCATATCACTATGATTTACTTCTGTGGTAATTTTTCCATCCATTATCATACCAAAAATATATACTACTGTGGATCCCCCACTGCCAGAGACCAGCAAGACTATACCTATTTTCAAACAGGATATAATAAATTATACTAATTAGTCTGTCCACAAGCTATAAATGGTGGTATGATTTGTCAATAGAATGTACTCAAAAAAATTTTGATAGTGAGTTTATTTGAGAATGATTTCTATTCTTTGTAATGAAGCAGAATCCTTTATTCCCTGATGCTGCAAATAACTTTTGGTCTTTACCAATAATTCTTCTTTGAACCTAGGAAATTCAAGTAATAACACAAAGGAGAATCTAATTCATGATGAGTATCAGTTTAGTAAAAAGGGGAAATTTACTAATTTTTTTTTTTTTTTTTTTTTTTTTAAGGATAAAAGGAGGGAAACATTAACAGACATACAACATTTTACAACATATCACAAGCACAATACAGACAATACAGAGTTACAAACAAAGTGGTAGGGAATTAACAATGGTGATTGTATTACATATTGATATCTTCAAAGTGGCTTCTCATGAAAACAGATATAGACATGCAATACTGGTCAACCAAAGACTCATTGACAGTTTCTTTCAGCATAGAAACAGCAGATAGAAGAACAATTGAAATTTACTAATTTTAATGGTTGAGACTGTTGTTTCCCCAACTTTCAAGATAATTTCAAATAATGCCCTTTTGTTATCATCAATAAAGACCAATGCATAATTGTTGAGGTGAGTGATACACACTTTCAACCACATAAGGGTTGTGAAAGCCCTCAATGTGAGACCCTCGCTGCAATCCCTTTATTTGATGTTGCCTTCCTAACACTGAAGGTTTGTATAATCTAGATTGTTTTCCCCTTGAATGCAGAAGCTGCAGTTCCCCTGGGGTTATACTGTGGAAAACCCATGGTAAGGTGAAAACAAGTGCATTTAAGGCCAGTATGCCTTATCCTAACCTAACATAATTTTTCTTTGACACTTAAATTGGCCATCAGGTGGGCAATATCATCAAAAATCGTGTATTTTATAAGGAAATGTGAAATGTCACATAATTTATGGAATACACTACACTTCAGGATACAGCATCAATTTTTACACCATTGAACATGTGGCTAATTTCACTGCAGCTCAGTTCTAATTCTTACCATGTCAGAAATTTGTATAGTGCATACTGATGTTCTAATCAGAGGTGAAGTCTTGAAAATAGATATTCCATCCTGAGCACATTTACTTAGCCAATATCTTAGCATCAAGATTCCTTTGATCCTCGTGTTTCCTGCTTGTAATCCCATAAGGGGGAAGGTAGGATGAGTTAGGATTGCACTACGGAAACAAACTTGGGCAGCATAATGAGACCCTGCCTCCAAATAGAATATGAAAAGCTTGCTGATATAGTTTAGTGCTTTAGTACACTTGGGTGAAAATACTGTGTTTTAATAAAGAACAATAAAACTCTGTGTTGAATGTATTTGTTCAGTATTGTTATGCTTAATTCACTGCTCATAATATATGATTATGTAATTGTTAGTATTGCATTTCATCATTGCTTTTGTTCCCCAAGCTTTCTTTCATGCTTAAAGGAATGTCAAACACAGACGATATTGGCATTTGTCAAACAAATCTTAGTGATTACTTCTTTCATGGTGATGACACATATGTGCATTTTTCTTTGCTATGTCACAAACATGAATTTCAGAAATGCCTCATATGGTTAGTGTTATGCGTTCTGGAAGGAGGTAGTGAAGCTAAGAATGTGAAAAATCTAATGGAAGAAATGCAGCAGGCAGGGTGAGTAGTATATGGCCATGAATACACACATCAGAAAAACAGAAATCCAAATAAATATCTTAATGGTGCATGTCAAGATTCTAGAAAAATAAGAACAATCTAAATTTAAATTAAATATTTCAGAGATAATCTGAAGAATTTTGGTGTTAAATGTTTTCTTTGTCCCAGTTTCAATACCAATTATTCAAACATATTTATTCCAAGAGATACAAAGGAGGTGGTACTCCCTCAGTAATGCGGTGCATAATATTACTAATGTCCAGCCCAGGAGGATGTGCAAGACTAGAAGCTTGTGCAAAGTAGACCTCAGCTGAGGTACATAAACCTTCAAAGAACAAAAAAAGAATTTGTGTTGGTTAAAGCCACAAGGTTTGAGGTAATTTTTGATAGCAGCAACAGGAAACTTCCATGCTGATCAAATTTTATTTAATTAACAAGCTAATTATAAAGCCAGCATGAAAATGCAAATATCCAAAATACACAAACTTATTGAAATAAAATTTTGGAGAGGAATTATATTAGTTGTTTAATAGATTTATGTTAGTTTAATAGATTTATATTAGCTGTTTAATATTTAATAATAGACAATAGATTTGGCAATCCTGAGACCCTGAGTGTGATTCTCAGTACAAAAAAAAAAAAAAACACAAAAAATTACACATATAGGCTTAATTGATACTTCAAGGTACCAAAATTATTTAATAAGTGAAAAATAATCTTTTAAGAATGGTGTTGGAATTGGATATGCTGCAGAAAAGATTGAAGCTTTAATTCCTCCTCACATCATACACAAAGATTAACTTGAATCAGGAACTTAAACAAAAGTGAAAACCATCAAGCATCTACAGTAAAGTACAGAATATATTTAGAACCATCAGGTAGATAAGTATATGAGTCACAGTAAGACTAATAATAAAAGAAAAATTTAGATTGGAAGTTTTACTCTTCCCATTTTTAAATTAAGTTTATTGGTACAATTTAGATATACATAATGATCACATTCATCATAGGAAATTTGTACCTATACATGATGCATCTTGATTCTTTTTTATTTCCCATTCTCCTCCTTTCAGCCCCTTCCCTTTCTTATTTACAGAGCTTTTTTTCAATTCTCTACTTCTCAATTTTTTCATTTTCCTTCCTTTCTCCCTCCCCACTCCCTAGTTCCCTTTCATTTTGAACAATTTCTTCCTCTTACGCACTTTCTATTTTTCACTTTGGTTCTTAACACTTTCAGTTTCTCACATGAGAGAGACACTGATATTTATACATGTGTGTCTGATTTATTTCACTTAAAAGTATGATCTCACAATCCAACTGTTTAGCTATAAGTGTTTTGTGCATCCTTTATAGCTGAATTGTATTCCAGTGTATAAAAAATCCCCACATCATTTTATCGTCAGTTCCTGGGCACTTAGGTCTTTTCCAAGATTTAGCTATTACAAACAGTTGCTGTAAACATGAGTGTGCATGTATCACTGTGGTATGATGCTTTTAATTTTTTTGTGAAGATACCAAGAAGGACACTAGCTAGGTCAAATGGGAACTTTAGCCCTAGTTTTTTGAAAAATCCCTATACTGACTTCCACAATGGTTGTGAAGCAGGACTTAAAAAGCAATCACCCTAAGCCCCCTTCTCCCTTCCCCTTTGGCTATAAGTTCTGGTACAGATAAGATTGGCAATTTTGTCCTATTTAAACAGAGTTTATGTCATGTTCTCACAGGATTCATAAGCTCTGTCTTCTTTCGTGGCTAAGTTATTAATTGCCTTCTCCTGCTTCTGTACCCTCACTTGCCCTGCACCCCTGTTTCTAAAGATGAAACCCTCAGCCAAATGTATAAAATTAGAACTTTCCTTTGTTCTGAGGCCCAGCACTGTGGAAGTGAATTCAGCTGGGTCAGTGTCCATCTAAAATCCTGAAATCAATCCTCCTTTTTCCCCAGTGATCTCTCACATCTCTTTGATTCTGAGACATTTCTGGTGACCACAAAGGGACCAGAGATGACAGATTTGCTAATCTCCTTTGCTTGCAGGCCTGAAGAGGACCGGGCTATGGGAGTCCTGAGACCTCTGGTGCCACCAGGTGAAACTTCAGCTCAGAGAGGATATTGGCCCTCCCACAGCCTGAAGACTTCTCCACTCAGTACAAACAGAACCTGAGTGGATTCAGGACAGTTCTGGACAACAGCATGCTACAGGACCATGGTAAGTTTTGGGAGGTCCAAGGGGGAAACTCATCCCATTAAGATGGTAGGGAAGATGGATCACATCTCAGGGGATAAGCCCGGTAATCTGATGTGCAATGGGTCAGGTGAAACGCAGCCCCACGTGGAATCCAAGGGAGGCCTGCAGTGAAAATTGCTCTCTAACAATACACGGGGCAGGCCTGCACTGAGAGCACTCAGAGTCAACTCTCAAACAGCTCACGGGACAGACCCACAATGAAAGCGTCAAGTGGAATGTAGCAATGGCCTGCAGCAAGAAAGCTCACGGAGTGTCAGCCTTCTGGAAGTGGCTCACAAAGGGAGGGGCTAAAAGTCCAACACTGGGATGAAAACAACTGGGACAGTAGAGAGGTATGTCTGTGTGAGCAAAATGAAGTGTGTGAGTCTCGGTCTCCTGGGTTCTGCTGGCACTGTAAGGAAAGCAATCCAATCAGTTTGAAAAGAAAAGTAATTGAGAAAATTATTTGTGCCATAATGGACAAAGACATGAAAAGCTGCTCAGCTGTAGTGTGCCAGGATACACAGCTGGGGCACCTCGGACAGACTGATAGATGCAAAGAGAAACACTCTGTGAAACAAGGTGATGATGGCAACCGGCCCAGGGGGACCAAGGCTAAGAAAAGAACAGAGCTGCTCGTGGGAACAGAGGCACAGGGCCGAAACTTAGGCCCCACTGCACTGCCAAGATTAGAGAGGCAAAGCAGCGGTCCTCTGTTTATTTAAAAGCACACAGAAAAGGCCAGTGCCCAGGTTCTCCCCCCATTTTCAAGAGCCCCAAGGCCAGCAGCTCCAGCCTAGGGCTGAATGGCCGAAGTTCTATTGGACCTAAGGAAGTTTTAAAGGAAAAACCAAGTTGCATATTTTAACCAATTGGTAAATGTACTTTTGGTTTCCAGTTTGAGTTGATATATATAAAACATTTCTTTGCAAGTTCTTAAGTTGCAGTTGCAGGTTAACTTGCTCTTTGCTGTGCTCTCTGTTGGTTTAAGATAAGAACACTGATTCAGTGTTACTCAAGGCTCCTTTGGTAGTCAGTCACATTTACAAAGTAACAACCTGAGGAAAAAAGGGACCTTTAAAAATTCAAGCAGATGTAGTCTTTTTGTTGTAAAAGGTTCATTGTAAGTGAGAGAGAAAAATATTAAGAAGGCTGTAAGTATAAGAGATCTACTTTTAATATAAGGGGACTCTGATTGATAAAAGTTTTGTCCTGCTAAAGTGATAAAAAGAGAGATAATCACAGACTGAAAAGCTTATGTACATTGAGAAAAGCTTGTGGAAGTACTTTATTTAAAAATATGTATGGTTACTTGTTAATTTGGTGGAGCTGAGGTTATTTCTTCTAAAAACTCCCATGAGATAAATGATCAAATCAACATAGAACAAAACTGCTTAAGAAAATAATTTATTTCACAACAGAGTAGATATGGAAGGAAAAGCATAAAAACTCACCCCATTAAAATATATGTTGGGAAACTTAAAAGAAGTGATACAGGAAACTGTGAAACGACTCATTAGAGTAACATAAACTAACGGTTACGAGGACTAGGCCAGACAGGGTTCCCTCTCCTAGATACTCAGAAGCCCATTGTCACAATGAACAGTAGGGGCCAATTCATGACTTTCTGGTAGATGATAGAACTGAACGCTCAGTAATGACTCACCCCACTGGGCCATTATCCACAAGTCATGTGAGTATAGATAGAGCCACTGGAGTCCCTAAAAGAGACCATTATTCCAGTCTTAGAGCTATGTCATAGAAAAAAAACAGATGTCAAACATAAGTTCCTGTATATGCACATCTTGTTCTGCCCAAAAGGGATCTACTCCAAAACTACAGACCAAAATTACCTTTGAGCCACAGGGATAGAAAAGACAACACAGCACAAGGTTGACATTGAGGAGCACTTCACCCAGCTGCACAAGACGTGACAGAGAAGTCAAGCTACAAAAGGGGTGATGAAAAACACACTGAAGCAATGGCAATGACTAAAAAGGATCATTCACGCAGAAGGTGAGCTTTGTAAAAGCTACTACCAACAAGGTAGAGCTAAAATGGCACTGGGACACATGTGCAGCAATGCTGAAAACACATTGTTCAACAAGAAACACGCAAGCCTGGGGGCTGCTTGGCAGCAACAGTTGGCAGCAAAGAAAGGCCCGCGGCACCAAAAGACATCAAAAGAGCCTGACAACTAAGGAGGAAGATGCAGGGTAGCACAAGACTACAGCAGAGGAAGCCAAATGACTCAAGGCTGAGGTGAAAGGGGCCCAGTGCCTGCAAGAGCAAACAGTACGAGTCAGTTCAACATGTACAGCGACCCGGAAGAATGCTTATAAATAACTGCAGACAAAAAAGAAAACTCATAGACATGCTAGAACAACTACATGAGGAGACAAAAGCAACTCAGTGAGTGACCAAGAGAGGCCAAGGAGGCCCAAAAACATGTCAAAAGTAAGGCAACACAATTTCACTGGCAGAAGAAAGGAACAGTGACTAAAACAGTTGACAGAGTTGCATGCCCAGACCAAGGTACAAATTAAAAAACAATACTGGCACATATGAGAGAACACAGCACAACAGAAAAGAAACAACAGCAGACATGCAAAAACAGAGATTCTAGAAAGAGCTGCAACATCTATGGCAGAGTTTGGAGGCAAAGATCCAAGCCAAGACCCAACAGGTGAAGACGACCAAGTACAACAGGCTACACATCAAAAAGGAGGGCCACATGATACACCTATGGCTGGAGACAACTGACTGCCAGTGTGGTAGGGCTAATGATAAACCATACGTTCTGTGTACATGGACAGAGGAGACAAAATCCGAAAAGCAGCAAGCACAAGAGGAGGCTAAGCATTTGCAGAGACAAATGCTTGAGGAGAGTCAACACAAGTGCGAAACAGAAGCAAAACTGGCCCTGCATGTGAAAGCTAAAGCTGAAACAACTAAAAAAACTCAAGGCTCTAAAGTCACAGGAGAGACTACAACTACAAGCCAAGGTTGCAAGGAGGTGACTGGCAGACACAGACAGGACAAATACACCCAATACAGGAAGCTCTAGAGACAACTCAGTGTAACACCGAGGCAAGCTACAAGGCAAGTGTGCCTCCTTTGCAAAAAAGACTACCCAGCTAAATCACACCCTACTACAGAAAAAGTGTGTAACAGTTTTTTTCAACTCCTAGGTACTTAATGGGCCTCAAAGGAAGTGGTCACTGTACACTGCAGGGGGCACCAGAGGACTAAAACAATAGAAGCCAGAGAAAAACAAAAGCCAGACAGGAAAACAAAGCAGGCTGCTCTGGTAGTCCCACAAAGGGGGACTTTAGCTCTGCCCCTTTTCTTGTAGCTTCTCATGGAGATCCCAAATTGCTCTCTAAATAAAAAAAACATGACTACCCCAGGAATCTGAAAATTATATCAAGGAAAGATGATGAAAATTGAGCAGTAGGCTATCTATATATGTTGATGCTTTCTTGCACCTTCTCAGGATGGATGAAAGTTTTCCCAGGGCAAACAGAAAAGACAGAAAAGGTGACAAGGTATGGTCAAGAGATGTCATCTCAAGATTTGGACAAGCCCTGACCGTGGGGTTTGACAATGGAACCACACTCATAGCCGAGAGAGTTCAGAAGCTCACACAGATGTTACAGATAAAACGAAAGTTTCACACAATTTACTGGCAGCAGAGCTCTGCAAGAGTGAAACGTATAAACCTGACACTCAAATAATTGCTGAAGAATATTACAGAGAAACCCACTTGAGTTGGAAATAAGTCCTGCCCGTAGTCCTCCTCCATGTCCAGTGCACCCCACTAAGTGGTTAGGGTATTCCCCTTATAAAATTCTACTTGGCTAGCCACCCCAAATCATTGATCATACTAAAGGAGATTTCTGTGAACTAGGAAAAGTACCCCTGAGGAGGCAGATACAGGCTTTGGAAATAGCCATACAGAATATTCATAGTTGTGTACAGGAAAAAATGTCCATAATCCTGACAGACCCAATACACCATTCAAAGCTGGGTATTTTGCTTTGGTTTAAAAAATAAAATCCAACAACACTGGGGCTTATATGGGATGGATCTCATACTGTAATCTTGCCTATCTTACTGCTGTTAAAGTTACAGAAACTCTACTTAGGCCCACCACAGTTGACAGAAGCCAGTGGCCCAAGAGCAATGAACCAGCCAGCAGAATGCAGACCACCTGAACCAACTGATCCTGTGATGAGACCAGGTCACCTCCAGAGACAACATCCCCGCTCTAGTCACCTGGAAGCTCACTAGTTTATTCATGACCAAAACTTGAGGATCAACATGGAGATACAATAACATGGTCTCTTTTCCTTTTTGTTATAATTCTCCCTCTGCTTAATAGAGAGCCAATGCCCCATAACAAGGTAAGTGTTAATGATAGTGATGCTGTCTATTAAAACCTGTAGAAAGCATCAAAGTGTGGAATAAAGCAGAACTTAAGGAATAATCTCTCTTGAACTCTGCCCTACTTCCCCTGTGTGTATAACTTTTTGTTCTGGTACAAATAAGATTGGCAGCTGTGTCCTCCAAACAGAGTTTATGTCATCTTATTCTCTCAGGATTCATAAGGATGTGTCATCTTTCAAGGCTAAGTTCTTAATTGCTTTGTCTTGCTTCTGTACCCTCACTTGCTGTGCTGGTAGTGGATTGACAACTGGTGGTAAACTTATATCCCCAAGCTGAACTAAGCATGGTGCCAGGTGTGGGAGGCCCACCTGGATTGTTGCCAGCAGCATAAGAGGCAGAACTGGAGAAGAAGTTAGGCTGCTGGTAGCTGACTAAGGCTGTTGGGAGTTGAGTAAGGCTATTGGGAGTCTGTTTGAAGCAGAGAGAAGCTATAAGGAGCTGCTGGCTCTCTTGGAGGAGCTTGTCATGCTGGCTTTCCTGATGAATTTGGCTGTTTTCTTCCTCTGAGGAGCTCAGGACCTTGTTGTCACTGAGAATGGCTTCAGTTCACTTTGAGGGAGCTCTGGTCTTCCCTCTGAGCATTGCTTCCTGGCTCAGGAGGGGAAGAAGGTGCACAGGTAAGTCTCCTGAAGAAGCTTGTTACACTGGCTTTCCTAAAGGGAAATGGGTTTGACTTTCTCTTCTTTTTCTAGGAGCTTCAGGTGCAGCATAAGTTCATGTTTATTTGTGCTCATTCTGTTTTCCTGAGGTGGGAATTCACCACTAACAATTTTCCTTTGAGGAGTGCTTTCATTGCATCCCACAGGTTCCTGTAAGTTGTACCTACATTTTTGTTTGATTGTAAATAGTGTTCAGTGTCCTGGATTTAGCCCTGCACCCACAGACATGCTAGGGGTGCAGGAAGTGGCCACTGAGGCCTAGGTGCCCGGGGCTCCACCTGCCTTGCACGCTGGTGAGGGAGGCACAGCGGTGGCTCACCAGGGTCCCTGAAGATGTCCAGTCCATTTTCTATGGTTCCATCCAACTGTTTATGGAGTTTTTGTGATTTCTTTTGTCATTAATTTCCAATTGCATTGCACTATAGTCCAACAGCATCCATGGGATAATTTCAATTCCTTTGCATTTACTTAAACATGTTCTATGTGCTAGCATATGGTCTATTTTAGAGAACATCCCATGTGCAGCTGAGAATATGTTTTCTGATGCTGTTGGGTGGAACACTCGGTAAAAGTCTACTAAGTCCATATGGTCACAAGTTTGGTTAAGTTCTATAATTTCTTTGCTGATTTTTTGTCTAGTTGATCTATCTCTTTGTGTCAATGGTGTGTTATAGTTCTCTGTTATGATTGTGTTGCTGCTTATTTCATTTTTCATATCTGTTAAAATTTGTCTTATGTACTTGGGTGCTCCTGTATTTGGTTCATAGATGTTTATGATTGTTACCTCTTTTTCTTGAAGATTTTCCCCTGCAAGTATGTAGTGATGTTCTTTACCTCTTTTGATTGTTCTTGGCTTGAAGTTCATGTTGTCTGGAGAATAGCTACACCAATGTTTTTCTGGGCTCCTGTCATGTGGAGTATTGTTTTCCATCCTTTAATTTTCAGTCTGTGAATTTCCTTTTGAGTTAAATGTGTTTCTTGTATCCAGCATATAGTTGGATTTTGTTTCTTGATCCACTCTGCTAGTCTGCTTCTTTTGGTTGGTGCATTGAGACCGTTTACACTGATGGTTATAACTGCTATGTACTGGCTTATCTTTGTCATGGTATTTTCCTGCTGTTGGACCCTCCTTTTTCCCTCTGTTTAATTGCTTGCTCTGCTTGGTTATTCCTTTCTGTTGTTGTTCTTGAAGTTGTGGTCTGTATTATCTCTTTCTAGGATATCTTTTAGTACTCTTTGTAGGATTGGCTTGGCACTCATGAATTTCTCCAGTTGTTCTTCCTCATGACGATATTTTATTTCTCCATTCAATATGAAGGATAGTTTTGCAGGGTACATCAATCTGGGTTGGAAGTTATTTTGTTTCAGTACCTGAAATACTTCACTCCAAGCTCTTCTTGCCTTGATGATTTGTGTTGAGAAGTCTGCCGTGATTCTGATGGGCTTTCCTTTATAGGTGATCTGTTTCTTTTCTCTAACAGTTTTTAATATTCTGATCTTTTATTGAGTTTCTGGGATCTTGACCACTATATGTCTGGGTGTAGATTTATTTTGGTTATGATTAATTGGAGTTCTATATGCTTCACTTATCTGGATGTCTGATTCTTTTACCATACTTGGGAAATTTTCTGCTGGTGATATTGAGGGAAAGAATAAATCTTTTTACATTCTTGTTGAGAATGTAAACTAGTATGAACTCTATTGAAATCAATATGATGGTTCCCTAAAAGATTCAAGTTAGAAATTCCATTTGACCCAGGTGTTCTCATTTAAGATATATTTGTGGAAGAGTTATAGACACCATGTGATGTATGCATACCCATGTTTATACCAGCACAATTTCTAGTAGTTAAATGTAAAAATAGAGGCCTGGTGTGGTCACACAATAGCAGAAACAACCAGTAAGAGCAGGCCCATTGTGGTGCTTGTTGGCAAGCAGAACCACTGAAGCAGCAGAGAGAATATGAGCCTGCAGTTGGTAAGGTATGTGAACCTGTGTTGTGGTCAGCACATAGACACATGGAACAGAAGTGGTTGGGCAGGGCCACCATTTTATTCAAAGGGAAGAACTACAATGACAAAAAACCAGTCCCAACCCCAACACACAGAGGTCAAGATCAGCCCCATAAATAGCATAAATCCTCACACACTTGGCCAGAGTACACAGAAAATGTCTGGAATCTGACTTGGACATTGCCACAGAAGTGTAAACATCACGGGAACAATTCTTCATGCAACAGGAACCCAGAAAAAAGCAGGGGTAGCTATTCGGATTGCAGAAAATGCAAACTTCAAAGCAAGAATGATCAAAAGAGGTAAAGATGGTCACTACATACTTATTAGGGGAAAACTTCAAGAGGAAGAGATAGCACTCATAAATATTTATGCATCAAATATGAGAGGACCCAACTATATAAGACAAACCTTAATAGACATGAAAAACCAAAGAACTGATAACACTTGTAATGGGAGAACTAAACACCCCACTGACACAAAGAGATAGGTCAACGAGACAAAAAAATCAGCAAAGAAATAACAGAACTGAACAAAACTTGTGAACAAATGGACTTAGTAAATGTTTACAGAGTGTTCCACCCCACAACATCAGAATACACATTCTTCTCAGGTGCACATGGGACTTCTCTAAAATAGACCACATACTAGCCCATAGAACATGCATAACTAAATGCAAAGGAATTGAAATTATCCCATGCATATTATCTGACCATAGTGCAATGAAATTGGAAATTAAAGACAAAAGGAACCACAAAAACTCCATGAACACATGGAAATTAAATAACAACCTCCTCATCAACCAATGGGTCACAGATGAAATTAAAGAAGAAATTAAACAGTATCTACAAACAAATGAAAATGTAAATACAACTTTTCAGAATCTGTGGGATGCACTGAAATTAGTCCTCAGGGGGCAATTTATAGCAGTGAACTCACACATCTAGAAAACAGAATGAGAACAAATAAACAGCCTAATGCTATACCTCAAACTTTTAGAACAAGAAGAACAAGTCAAGCACAAAGCCCAAAGAAGAGAGGAGATTATAAAGATCAGGGTAGAAATTAATGCAATTGAGATGAAGAAAACACTACAAAAATTAATGAATCAGAGAGTTGATTCTTTGAAAGAATAAATAAAATTGATAAGCCCCCAGCCAAACTTATCAAAAAAAGAAAGGAAAACCTCAGGTTCTTGCAATAAGAAATGAAAAAGGTGAAATCACTACAGATCCTATGGAAGTTCAAAAGGCCTTCAATACCTACTTTGAAAATCTTTACTCCCATAGGATGGAAAACACAGAAGAAATGGATAAATTCCTAGATACATATGAATTATGAAAGTTGAATCAAGAAGGTATAAAAATCCAGAATAACCCAATGTGAATTAATGAAATTGAAAATGTGATTAAAAACCTACCAAGAAAGAAAAGTTCAGGTCCTGATGGGTTCAAAGCTGAATTCTACAAGAAATTTAGATAAGATTTAATGCCAATTCTTCTCAAGATCTTCAATGAAATTAAAAAGGAAGCAATTCTCCCTAACTCATTTCTGGAGGCAAGTATTATACTGATATGAAAACCAGAGAAAGAACCAACCAAAAAAGAGAACTACAGGCCAGTCTCCACAATGAACATAGATACAAAATTACTCAATACAATATTAGCAAAAAGAATTCAGCAAATCATCAAGGGTATAATACACCATGACCAAGTGGGATTCATCCCCAGGAATGCAGGGATGGTTTGATATACACAAATGTAATACATCATATCAACAGAGCCAAAGACAAAAACCACATGATCATCTCAATAGATGCAGAAAAAGCTTGTGACAAAGCCCAACATACATTCATGATAAAAACTCTATAGAAAACCTGAATAGATTGTCTTTACCTCCATCTGACCCAAGCCATCTATGACAAACCAACAGCCAACAATGTACTAAATGGACAAAAACTGAAAACCTTCACTTTAAAATCAGGAACAAGACAAGGATGTCCCACTGTGACCACTCCTATTCAGCATAGTTCTGGAAACATTAGCCAGAGCAATTAGGTAAGAGAGAGATATAAATGCAATGAGGACAGGAAAGGAAGAAGTGAAATTATTACTCAGAGATGACATGATACTCTACATGGAAGACCCAAAAACTCCACCAAAAGACCCCTAGAATTAATCAACAAATTCAGTAGCATAGCTGAATCCAAAGTTTACATTCAAAAATCCATAGTATTCCTATACAAAAACAGCAAACATGCTAGAAGAGAAATTAAGGAAACCATA